AGTCATTAGGTCCGTCAGACTGAAGATATTTTAGCGGTAATGAGACCAAAAATAATTAAGACCCATCGAATCCGAATTTAAGACATTTTAAGACTTTTTAAGGCCTTATATTAGGAAAACGTTATTTAAGACATTTTAAGACTTTTTAAGGACCCGCTGACACCCTGATTATGCGCTTATTTTAATTTTTAGGTGAACTATCCCTTTAAAGTGGTCAAGTTAGTCAACCAGTCCCTAACAGCCTAACCAGGGCGTTACTAGCTCTAACCAGGTTGACCAAGATGGTCTAACAGGCCAGCCTCCGCTGGTTTTGATTTAAACCAGCTATTGCCGTGTGTGTACCAACCCGTTCTCTGAGCTTCTCCTTCAGTAACAGACTTAAAAGGTTATACGGGACCCTGAACCACACAGGAGCTCCAACGATAAGCACTTTCTTCAGCCGTGCTGGGAACGCACCCTGCAGAAGGTTGGAAAACAGATTTTTCTGATTTATTCTGACATCTAAACCCCCCAAAATCCCACCAACTCTCAAGCACACTCCAATAACTCAGCTCTGCTCATACTTTTGAACATGAACAGGCAGCCGTCATCAGAAACAGGAAAACCACATACAGATAAAACACTAAAACTCACCTTCAGCAAATTGAGGATCTTTTTGCTGAGGTCCAGTTCAAAGTTAGTGTAGTTGGATCCAGCCATGTCATAAATGAAGACCAGTCCATTTCTCTGAGTCTCAAAACTACAGGAAACAAAGAGAGAACTACAATGTTGCAAATCATGATAATAAGCCATTTTCTGATGTTAAAATCTCTGGTTTCACACAACAGTCAAACGTTCGGAATAATTCAGATTTTTTATGTTTCTAAAGTCTCTTCTGAAAAGGCTGCATTTATTTGATCAAAGATACAGTAAAAACAGTAATATTGTGAAATATTATTACAATTCAAAATAACATCTCTATTTTATTATTTATTTACAAGGTCATTTATTCCTGTGATGCAAAGCGGAATTTTTTTCAGCATCAGTACTCCAGTCTTCAGTGTCACATGATCCTTCAGAAATCATTCTTATATGCTGATTTGCTGCACAATAAACATTTATTATTATTAACAATGCTGAAAACAGTTGTACTGCTTCATATTTTTGTGGAAACCATGATAATTTTTTTCAGGATTCTTTGAGGAATAAAAAAAAGTTCAAATAAAAGTTGAATAAATAAAAATAAAAAAAACACATGATGACCCCAGACTTTTGAAAGGTAGTGAATATTGGTTACCTCTCCACAGCTCGGTCCAGTAGGTAGAACAGGGCCTGAAGAACCACATGGTTTCCTGTTTTGCTGGGATGGTGCAGTTTAGCCGTGTAGAGGGCGATGGATGCGCCAGACGGGTCCCGGACACCCTGATACCAGAACGGTGTAAAAAAAAAAAAAAATCTCAAAAAAGAACAGTCATGTTTTAATGTTTACATGTCAGTCATCTCAACTCTTTGGAGTACTAGTGTACTGCATACTAAATGTTTAAACAGGATGCATTATGGAAAGATAAATGCTCACACAACCTCACTTGATTGCATGTTTAATTCATTCATTTAGAATGGAATTCAGAAGCAATTCAGAAATAATGACGGTAGTTTTAAATTTTTAAAGCAATACATTAAAAATAATAGAATGCATGAATGAATTAATAAATAACTACATAAATCAATATCCAAAAATACAGCAGTATGCTCTTTCAAATAAATACGGTAGTTAAAATTTTTTTTTTCAATTTTGTACAATTTCTGAATTAAAACAAAAGAGATGAAATAAATAATAAAATAAAAAATTAATAAATAAATATCCAAACATACAGTAATATGCTCTTCCAAATAAATACGGTGGTTTACATTTTTTTTATCTACTTTGTGCATATTTTGAATTAAAATAAAAATATATTAATGATGAAAAATAAAACTAACGAATATATCAAGAAATATATCACCCAATCAATAAATAAATGAATAAATAACTATCCAAAAATACAGTAGTATGCTCTTCCAAATACATACAGTAGTATTACATTTTTAATCTTTGTGCATATTCTAAATTAAAATAAATCTATAATAATGATAAAATAAATAATAAAATGAATGCATATAAATAAAATAAAATAAAATGTCAGGACAGTCACTATCACACCCTTTAACAAAATAAGTGTAGGAAGCTTTTCCAAACATCCTTTAGTTTAACTGAGGAGTAGTTTTAATTGTGAACACACGGGGGCAGAACAGAGCTTGTCTCACTGAGCTGTGAAAGATGACTCACTCCAACAGGTCCCATCAGTAAAGAAGCATTATATTTATCTCTGCCACACAATAAGACAATAAATATGGTTTATTCGCTTTCAGCTGACCCATTTCCGTATGTGCAAGCATACAGCTTTAGCATTTATTAAATATTTATGTCAATAACATATTTCAATAATCTGATGACTCATGAGATACTTGGGACTTATGTGCATCTCTCTTGGTTATAAATACAGATGGCAGGATGTGAGGAGAGGAGACAAGAAGATGAGGAGGATCAATGAAGTATCGGATGAACTCAAGGGGTCCTGCCTCCACAGCGTCCAATCAGATGTCAGAATGCAGACCCGTTTTAACCAATAGGAGAGCAGCACAAGGCAAAATAAGCTAAAATATTTAAAGAATGAATTTAGCAGATTCTTTGTTGACCTGGTTATAATAACAGGGCTGAAATGTTTAAGTGAAATCGCATCAGTGACTCTGCAGCTGTAATTATCAAAGTGGAAATGAAACTTAGCGAAGCATTTTTTTTGTGAACCGGTAACATCATTTCCCAGATTTAAAGAGCATAAACAGCCCTTATGAAGATACAGCCCTGATATGATATGAACTTACCAACACAGTGAACTTCCCACTCAACAGCTCAGAGCGTAATGGCTCCTCGTGAGGCTGCAGTTTGACGATGCCCTCCCTAAGACGTGTCTCCTGTAGAAGAACCACATCACCCTTTATTAATAACTTGTCTACTAAATATATTACTTTATTTTATTTTTTATTCCATTTTGTTTCATTTATATTTATATATTTAATTTGTTTTATATTTTCATTTATTCCATATACACACAAAATAAAAAAGAATAATAAAAAAAGAAAACCAAAAATGTAATTAATTGAAATTAAAAAATATATATTATATATAAAATAAATAATAATATGAATGAATATATCAATACATAAATAAATGAATAAATTAAAATAAAATACAAAAATAATAAAATAAAATAATGGCCACTTATTATATGGGTTCCCACAATTGCCTAATGAATTTCCATGACATTTACAGTCATCTGCAACAAAAATGAAAGTGAATAGAGATTTTCTAGAGCAATTTCTAGTAAGTATTTAGTAAATAAGAGCAAAAACAGAAATGTATGTATAGTTTTTATAGAAATTTCCTTTTTTACAAATGTCTTTTTTCAATGACATTATGATTTTTTTTAAACTTCCATAATAGATTCGATCATTTCAATTTAAAGGGGTGGTTCAGTGTTTTTTTTCTAGGCTTGATTGTGTTTATGGGGTGCAGTCCAACGTGTTAATGCTTCGTTTTAAAAAAAAAACGCATTATTTTTTACCTTTATTCCACACCGCTCTGTCCCTTCTCTGAGAAACGACCGGATCTATTTCCTGCTTTTATGAAGCCCCTCCCTCAGAAACAGGCGATGGGCTCTGATTGGTTAGCTAGCCCAGTGTGTTTTGATTGGCTCAACCGCCGCTAGTGTGCATCGATTCATATATGAATAGATTTTTACATGCACCTCTAGTTTTCTCTTTCATCTTCTCTGAAGCAGCGCAGCATGGCCTCGCCCCTTTTGCTGCCTTTTCCCGAGTGCGGGGTTTATCTGGGTTTGTTACGTCACGAACCCGGGAAGTAACTCGTTGTAGTCCCTACCAGCCGTTTTTGTAGGCATCAAACTGCCAGAATTTTAAAAGATATCTCCGTTTGCATTGAACATTCAGCTTCGTAACTTTGCAGATATTGTTTATGCTCAAACAGCAACATTACACACTAACTAACGTTAAAAAAGTGAAATCGCAATC